GCCATTGCTGACTTTTCTTTATCCCAGAGATGTCACGTGGGATTGTTCCTTTTTCTGGACTCCCTCTTCCTATTGCCTTGTTTGCTCTGATGAGCCTTGGGCTGGACTCTTCTGGTTTTTTGGGCTTCCATCTTTCTTTGATTTTTCTGCAGCTTTATTCTGGGCCTAATTTTCGCTGGGCTGGGTGTGTCAATTTTTGGCCCAAACACTTTTATTTTGTTAATTTCCAAGAAAATACAGGAAGTCATACTTCTGATAATTTATTTTAACAAAACCAAGCAAAAAGGTCCAATTCGTAATTTTAGTCCACCTTTTATTTAATTTGATTTATTTCCAAGAAAATACAAGAAGTCATCATGATCAGTAATGCAACACATAGATATTGTACTCCACCGCAGCATCACCAGTGTGAGTTGTTGCTAAAGCATAACCCCTAGCAAGCCTGAAAACTCCGCTTCCACCAACCACAGGCAGCTCCCTTACCTTGTTGAAAATTGAATTTCTTCCTATCAAATTTATGGTGCTGCCATTAAACTGACCTTGGACAAAAGCAAAGTTCTGAACCATCAACTTGCTAAGCCCCTTTCGTGCTGCAGATGCATAAAACCCTTGAGCCCTTGCCACCAATTCTGAGCTCAATTCAGGTCCTTCGGTTAGGGCATTATCAAACATTCTCACTAACCCATAATTTGTTGGTGACTTGGTGGGTGAAGGCACCACATCCATGGCAGAAGGGTGAGGCCCATTAAGAAGGTCATGCCAAAATAAGCGAATGTGGGTGAGCTTTTCTTCTTGCAGTCCAAAAAGCTTAGGGTCAATGCTACCTACAAACCCATGATTTTCCCCGGAGACTGGGATCATGGCAAAGGAAGAGAAGAGGGAGGAAATTATGAGTTGGAAAGCTAGGATAGGAGAAATTCTAGCCATGGTTTTGGCACCTCTAATGTCTTCAAGGCTTTTCTGTAAATGGTCTGCTTGTTTTGTAAATGGTCTCCAATATATATATAAAAATGAAGTGAAGGGCAATGTTTCCGTTCCACTAAGCTCTCTTTACAACTGATTTGACTTTCTTTCTTCTATGAAACAGTTAAGGGGTTAAGGTCTATTGTGTATTTTAAATTATCATTGTGTAGTGAGTAATGTCTATTGTGTATTTTAAATTATCATTGTCTAGTGCGTAATGTCTTAATTCTCAAAGAGACTTCCATATCCAATCAAAAACAAAATAATAAAAAAGACTCTCTCTCTCTCTCTCTCTCTCTCTCTCTCTCTCTCTCTCTCTAAACTTCTAAAGTGTCCAATTCTAAGTCAGAATCTAATGAATTGCTATTCCGTTCCAAGAAAGAACAACAATTTCTAGTCATATATACTATATATATGAATCCATTGGTGGTTACGTAATGTGTTTTGTCAACTTTCCTGCATAGTCTTCCTAATTTGGTTGTGGCTGCTAATGCTAATTAGGTTAGCTATTTGAAGAAGAACTGAAACCCTCTAGTTCTGTTTGGAAAATCAGAAAATTAAAACGAAACAGAAAATAATCACTCTTCAGAGCTGTGATATGAGCATTCAACCTAAAAACAATAAGTGATGTCTAAGGAGCCAAGATCTTTTAAACTATTAGGTAAAACTTTAATTTTCCAATGTGGGATCCACACTCTCAATGGAGACAATAACTATTACTAAATCAAAAATTAATTAGTACGGACGCACCATTTGTTTATTTGTGGAAGTACAAGTTGAATTGAGAACTTGAGCTTGAATAAAATTGATAATTTCTATGAATTGACTCTTCTTCTTAGTTCATTTAAAAAATAGTATTTTTGTTAATCAATAATTGTTTCCATAAAATAAACATACCAACAAGTTATCAAAGTCTTAACAGATATTTCCTCTAATGCAATGCTAATGCTTTCTAAAGAAGCATGAGGCCAAAGATTATGTGTGCATGAGTCGTGCCTCAAACTCAATGACAACCTGGAAGCAACACCAACATTAGATTACTAAGAGCATTTCTACCCATTTGCCATGACAAAAAGGTAAGGGGAGGTAAGGGTTGGTACTATGCACATGAATAGTGCCTGCCATAACAATTTTTTTTGTTGGTTTTTCACCTATTACCATGGCAACCCAAAGACAACCACTATTCATATGAGATATAAGGAGAGGAATTTGTATAGAGTTTTGGTGTAGGAAGTGGAGAATAAGGCAAGCTATTTATATATAAACAATTTTTAAAAAAAATCTGAAATTTTTGGTTTTTTTAATTTGTTTTTCGTTGCTGATGTCATCACTAACGTCACAGCCCTCATGCAACAGCTCGAACTGTTCTTGCCTTAGGGCCTGCCAGGACTTGTGGAGCCCACGCCTTACCTGGGTTCTTTTACCGTTTGAAATTGTTTCTTGGGCCTAGGCCCCTTGCCCGAGCTGGGGGTTGCGGTGGAAATGCCATAATAATCTGAATCCTTTTATTAATTTGGAACAAAGTACAAGTAGTCATACTATGAACTTCTGATAATTTATAATTACAACAAGGCATAGGGGAGCAAATTACCAAAACCAAGCAAAAGGGTCCCAATCCTAAATTGCCAAAACCCATGATCAATAATGCAACACATAAATATTATACTCCACCGTAGCATCACCTGTGTTGAGATCAAACGTGTGTGTTCTTGCTTCAGCATAACCCCTAGCAAACCTGAAAACTCCACTTCCACCGATCACAGGCAGCTCCCTCACCTTGTTGAAAACTGAATTTCTTCCTAGCAAAGTTATGGTGCTGCCATTAAACTCACCTTGAACAAAAGCAAAGTTCTGTGCCATCAGCAGGCTAAGCTCCTTTTGTGCTGCAGATGCATAAAACCCTTGAGCCCTTGCCACCAATTCTGAGCTCAACTCAGGCCCTTGGGTCAGTGCATTATCAAACATTCTCACTAACCCAAAATTTGTGGGTGATGACTTGGAGGGTGGTGGGACCACATCTATGGCTGTGGGATGATGCCCACCGACAATGTCATGCCAATACAAGCGAATGTGGGTGAGCTTTTCTCTCTGCAACCCTATAAACTTAGGGTCTATGCTTCTCACAAACCCATGATTTTCCCCAGAAACTATGGTCATGGCAAAGGAAGAGAGGAGGGAGGAAATTATGAATTGGAAAATTAAGGTGGGAGAGATTCTAGCCATGGTTTTGTTTTGGCACCTCTTCAAAGCTTTTTGTCTCTCCTTCGTAGCTTTATATAAAGTGAAGGACGATGATTCTGTTCGGCTAAATTTTTTTTTGCAAAATCATGTGGCTTTCATTTATTAATATGAAATAAGAAATGAAATTTGTATTATAATAATAATCAAGTATTTTTGGGGAAGTGAGTAATAAAATTATTGAAATTTTTCTCACCAACCCCAACAAATATGATTTTCAGTATTGACATCTCGCAATAATTATTAAACAGTTAAGACAAAGAAACGAGAAATGTGGTCCTAAAACTAATTAAAAATGTAATGTGTGTTGCATATGTTGTTAGGGTTTATTTGTATATAATTCACACCAAGTTGGCATTGTCTCATTGACTAGACTTTTCCCACACCATAATAGTTGAGTATGAAAAAAATTTGAAAGTACTGCCACCTGCTTCCGTGAGGTTGGGCTTGGGGTTGGTGACACTAACCCCTTTCATTTGATTCTGATGTGACAAAAATCATATACCCATTCAATAATGACATTGTGCCGGTACCAACGAAAGGTTTGCAGAAAAAGTTTCTTATAACGTGCAGAGCAATATTTTGCTATTCTCAATTAACAATGCAATGACACGTGAGAAGTTGAGTCACTTCTGTCCTCTAAATAGTTTCTTTTGTTTAACTTCCTAATGAGCCTTCCTGATCTTTATTATGGCAGCTAATTAGATTAGATATATAATATAGGCGTAATTATGTATATGCCTCATGTGCTTTTAAACTTGTCTCAGATTACCACATGTGTTTGTAAACGTCTCAAAATGCCCCCCCCAAACTTTTAAAAACAGTATCACGTTACCTGTTCCGTCAATTTTATAAACATTCTGTTACGTGCGTTGGGCCCCACTTCGTTTAAAATATATTTAAAAGTATAGCCGCCGGGCCAATTTCCTCTTTCTGAATCACTCAAATCCCCCAGCCATGGTCGAAGGCTTCGAAGTCGGAGGCGTCCCTTACAATCCAGACGGGTGGGGTCCACTGGATAGCGCAACCACCCCAACCACCACCTCCAACCTTCCCCTTCATCCCATTCTCCCGGCGAGAAGTTGGGGTGGATCGCCGACTGGACCTGCACCTTCAACAACCCAGCCCGGTCCAAGAACCCGTTGGATTCAGTCTTCGACTTCTTGAATGACGAGTCGTTCCTTGCCTCCACTGATGACGACGCCTCATTCCGTCTTGTCGACGAAAAGCCCCCGCTGCGCCCCAGGTTCAGCCCCAAATGGCAATTCCAGCAGCATCGGTAGTTGCCTCACTGCCGTGATGAAGAAGTCGAAGCCGAAAAGATGGAGGCAGAGAAGGAGCAGGCCCGCCGCGACCGGCTATACAACATGAACCGGTCCAATGTCAATGTCCCTCGCCGCAAGCCGCGGTTTTCAAATCATCGGTCGATATTCAACCCGAATGGAACATGCTGGACTAGATCTCTTTCTCCACATTCTCAAAGCTGTCGTTTTCGGTTCTAGAACCAGAGGACTTGCTCCTCTGCAATGGGTTCGAGTTTTATGATTGGTCCTGCGATCGAATCATGCCCAAGAATGAGCGAAGACTCGAGCGTTTCAAGAATCAGAACTTCTTCAAGGTCACCACCACCGACGACCCAGTCATTCGCCGACTTGCAAACGAGGACAAAGCTACAGTATTTGCCATTGATACCATTCTCTCGACTCTCATGTGTGCGCCCAGGTCGATTTACTCTTGGGATATTGTTGTTCAGTGAGTTGGGAACAAGTTATTCTTCTTCCGCAGCCTTTTTTTGGTTATTTTTAATTTTTTTTAAAAGGGTGTAGCCGCCCGGCTATACTTATAAAAATATTTAGAACGAAGTAGGGCCCTACGCACGTAACGAAATGTCTATAAAATTGACAGAACGGGTAACATGAGACTGTTTTTAAAAGTTTTGGGGGTATTTTAAGACGTTTGCAAACACATGTAGTAATCTGAGACAAGTTTAAAAGCACAGAAGACATGTACATAATTAAGCCTATAATATATTGACAAGTACAAATAGTTATTCCCTCAGCTACTTGTGTTAAAAAAAAAGAAATTCAACCAATATATTGATTTATTTTATTTTAATTATCTATATATATTCTGCTGATATATTGAACACCAACCAAATACATTATGCGTAGCCTTAGAAAAATACTCATAGAATATAAAATTGCAATTACTTAACAAAGAAAGCAACCCCACTGAAACCTTAAGTAATCAAAGGTGGTGGCCAACATAATTACAGCCTATCTCCTCAAAAGAGAAGAAGACAAGAAAAAGCTAGCAAAGGAGTAAAAAGACCAAGAAGCCATCAATAATGCAGCACATAGACATTATACTCAACTATGGCATCTCCAGTATTTGGAGTGAATGAGTGAGTTCTTGCTTCAACATAACCCCTTGCAAACCTGAAAAGCCCACTGCCTCCAATGATAGGCATCTCCCTCACCTTGTTGAAAACTTGGTTCCTTCCCAGCACAGATACGGTGCTTCCATTGTATTTGCCTTCAATGAAATGAAAATTCATAGCCATCAGAAGGCCTACTTCTTGCTGTGAGGCAGATGCATAGAACCCTTGAGCCCTTCCCCACAATTTTGAGCTCAACTCAGGGCCTTGAGTCAGAGGATCATCAATCATGCTAACTGAACCAAACAGGGTTGATGAATTGGTGGGTGCTCTCACAACTCCTACTGCACTGGGATTTTGACCACTGTAAATGTCATGCCAGTAAAACCTAAAGTGGCTCAGCTTCTCTTTCTTGAGCCCCAAAAGCTTGGGGTCCAAGGATCTCACAAAACCCTGATCTTCTCCTTGGACCAAAATTATAGCAAATGAAGAAAGAAGAGAGAGAATCATGAATTGGGTAGCCAAGATAGAAGAAGGTGTTTTGGCCATGGTTGCTTGAGCCTCTTTTGAATTTGATCAATACCTCTGGTTCACAAATGGTAGTTTCTTTGTGTCCGCATATATAGTGGAATGGGCCATACAGCTTGAAACTATAGTTGACCAAGTTGGGTCTTCATCATCATAATGAGCACCAACCACAGACTGCCACATTTTCTTTGGCCTTTTTGCTTTTCGGTTAATGTGTTTTTCGTTTTGGTGAGCCTGCGCATTGTATAAAATGGTTAATTAATCAACCAAATTGGGGCTTAATTAGTTTTATAAATTACTAAAGTCTGAACAACCCAACAACCTGCTATGCTGCGTGCTGTGCTTGCAGTAACTTGTGGTAAGGCTGCACCTCCTTGCGCTTTTATAGGTCCGCCAGTAGTGAGGGTAATTATGAGAAGGGTTTAGTAATTAAAGAAGAAAGGAAGAAGGAAACAATGACCTATTTTTTGGGGTCAATAACAATGACCTTATAGTTTTTTTTTGGTGAGTGGAATTTGAAAAATAGACCATCTAGTTGAAGTATTGAAGGGTTTGGAACTTGGATGTAAATTTCTGCCTTCTGGAATCATACAGTGTATATGGCGATGATGACAGAAAGTCTTCTTTGGGTTGGTGGACCTAACTCTTATTTTTGGCGGAGCCAGGTGTTTCTGTCTTTTAATAGGAAAAAATATTTATAAAAAACAAAAGAAAAGTTTGCTACATCAACTATTTTTCAAACCATACATACATATGCTCTCCTCCTCCACAAAAGATAGCACCATTTTAGCCAATTTGTCAAGAAAGCTCTCTTTGGTATATGTACTGGCAATAAGATGCTCCTCCATAAAAGACAGCATCATCATCATATAAACTAAGCCTTCTTTGGTTACTTTTATCTATGTGAAAAATAATGCAGTTTTTTATTTTTACTATAAAAGTTTTCTGAGACAAATTTTCACAGTGGGAGGGATTCCAAGCTAACATTGAGTGGAAGTGAAGGAAGCCATCAATCATCAATGGCTTCACTTGCTGCCATTAAGCTCCATCATCATAACCACAGACTGATGGCTTGGAAACTGGTGCTGATCAGTGAAAATGGTCCTTTCAATGTAACAGAGTGAACCTCTGGGCAGCTTTTTGTTGTATAATATAATATGAGAGGAAAAAACCACTAAAACATTGCACAGAGAGGGGACAGCCCAAAATCACAAGCAAAAATGAGAGGAAACATTGTCTAATGATTTCTTCCACAAATTGGAACATATAAAGAATCACGAGACAGAATTATGACTTAGTTGCGTAGCCAAGATGGGAGGTAATCTAGTCATGATCACACGTCCTTAGGTCACCCAATTTGTGACCCATTTTGCCCTTAAAGCTGCAAGCCTACAACTGTAGCAAAAGAGTGAACTAATCAGTAGCCTTCTGTTCTGTGGTAAAAATATGAAAGGAAAAACTACTAAAATATTTCTCAGAGAAGGGGACAGCCCAAAATCACAAGCAATCAACGCAAATATGAAAAGTTTGTCCGGAGACCAGCGCAAATAATAAAAGTTTGTGGGCTTAGCAGCAATTATCTCTTAGTAAGCCCATTTGCGGACATGTTTTAAGATATTGCCCAAAAGGCCACTTTCTCTTCAGCCCATTTGTAGCCTTCGTTTCTTTGAGCTAAGCTAACCATCGAAACCCCACTTTTGAACCCACGAAAAAGGTCCTCATGTAATAGGTATAATTATTAGCGCACCCACTTTGCTATAATTTCAAGGTTGGTTTTGTGATACAAGCGATATTCGAGGAAGGGGAACACGAACACGCGACCTCGGGAGAGCAGGAGCTTGTTAAATTGTTTTCAAAATATGAATACAATACTTTTGATCAAGCAGAGCTGGCGTTCATATTGTGAAATCGAACCCAAGCTTTACTGAAAATTTCACGAGGGAAAAAGTTATTCGTTTGGAGGGATGCCCTTTTGTGCTTTTTGGATGGAGGCATGAATATTTTTTATTATTATGAAACATTCTCGTTCCCCACACCATATTCTCTGTGTTAAATAAAGTGCGTGGTCTGAATTGAACAGCTGACCTAATTTCCCCATGCATGCAACTGGCAAGGTGCAAGTGATGGAAAGGGCCCGGTGATGAGCAAGGTTTTGTTAGGGTTCAATCACACGAACCCTAGCTAGCTAGGCGGCTAGGCGGCTAGGCCTAGACATTTCCCAAAGCAACGGACAAGAAATCTGAGCACCACAAACATGAAAAGAATTAAATACTAAGTTCATATTCATAGTTTGACTTTCTTAAGAAGAAGAATTTTCTGCCTCGAACCCACGGAATAATAAAAAATAATAATGGTCTAAAATAATCCAGAAGAACCATGTACACTGTACAGCTTTTATTTTTCTGAATTTTGAATTAAATAAATAACCACTTTATCAAAGGAGGCAGTTTATTATAAATTATAAGCATAAGCATATGCGTGTTGATATTGGAATTTGGATGGGAAAGTTTGATACCTAATAATTAAGTTATTTAAACGTGACGTTCATTTTAATAATAATAAAATACATTCATGTCGTTTCAAGATTGTCTCAACGTCATTGGTGACTCAAATCATGAAAACCGTAGCGGGGTTAATATTATTATTTTTATGTGCTAATGCATGTACTTAAGTTTCCCCTAACTTGGCCTTAAAACAAAATTTTGGTTTTTTATTTTGTATGAGCGTTGTTGCTCGCATATGAATGATTGTAAATCAATTATGTAATGTTGAATTCATTGTAGTACACATGATCAATTGTCAGCCGTTTATATATGTGTTATATTTACCGTCTATTCTCATTGTAGGATTCATACATACATCAAAAAAATGATTGCCAATTACAATAAATGTGTGCTTAGAAGAGGTTGATGATTATTCCCTGAGATTTTCTATTTAAACCCCACAGTTCTCTTAGTTCACCCCATATTCTAAGTTCACCCCAATTTATAGTTTAAATTTTCACAATTTCTAAGAAAACCCCACTATCTTCCTAAACTACCCTTAAATACACCCCAAACTGAAAAAATAAGAACTAAAAGATATTTTCTATTCAAACCCTACAATTTTCTTTGTTCCCAACAAAAAAAAACACAAACAAATGAAACCCAAAATCTGAAATTTAATACTTTCTAGAGAAAGAGAACAGTTTTACCTCTCTCCAAGAATTGTAACTGAAATTCTAACACTTGGGTATTGTTGAGTTGAGAACTTGAGAGAGAGAGAGAGAGAGAGAG